GGAATCGACCGTCGAGATAGGAGCGGAACCACTGCAAAGCAGTGCCTCCAACCCCCAATCCCGCAAGTCTATCCAGAAGGATACCATGGTCGATGGTATCGAAAGCCGCCGAGAGGTCCAGGAGAACCAACAGGGATGTACTCCCCCTGTCCTTCTCCCTGCACAGGTCGTCGTACAGGGCGACCAAGGCAGATTCAGTACTGTACCCGGGTCTGAAGCCGGACTGTACATTTGGATATACAAAGGCTTCCATAGGTGAAAGCCATCTTGGTAGTTTATTATACATTTTTAACTTTAGCTTTTCCCACACCAACATTAATGATCTTCTAATAAAAGTGAGTTCCAAAGGTGGGTGCTACTGTTGAAATGGCCATTTTCCCCTCACCTCATTGCGGGGGTGGCGGGTAGAACTTGGAAATGATAAACAGAGCCTGTAAACCTCCACAAGTATATGGTCTTGTTCATTTTGTTGAGAGAGAGGACATGAAAAAGGACATTGTGGTAAAATACTGGGCAATATATGCAGAAAGTCATGGACGGAGAGAGAAAGATTCATCTGGAAGAACTGATGAAGAGCCAGTGTGGTGTAGTGGTTAAGAGGGTGGGACTGGGACTCAGACGATCTGGGTTCTAGTCACCGCTCAGCCATGGAGCCAACTGGGTGACTTTGGGCCAGTCACAGACTCTCAGCCCACCAACCTACCACGCAGGGTTGTTGTTGTGGGGATAAGATGGAGGAGGAGATGTAAGCTGCCTTGAGGATATAAACTGAAAAATAAATAAATAAATGAGCAAGTGAAAAGGCCAATTTTCTCTCCTGCGCTGCCAGGAGTGGCTTCCAGTCAAGCTGGTGTAGATTTCTCTGAGTTAGAGCTTTGATATCAGCCACATGGGCAATGTAAAGGCTTCCATTGTTCCTCACAACCTATGAGCAGTTTTGACTGTGGGTTATGATGTGACACCATATGCTAAATTACATCAGAATGTTCACATTAAGGACGGCTGGACGTGTCTACAGTCGCGTCTGCAGAATGGCACCTGAGGGATCTTGACTATATGTTACTTTCTGAAGTCTTGTATGCTAGACCAGGGTCCTTTCAATGTACCCAAAGCTAACAACAAGAAAAAATCTAAAAGATTTAAAAGAGTGTGTAAGGCAGTCAGCTTGCTGAAGAAGATTTATAGCTTTCCAGTTAAACAAGAACCAACAGCCCAACAGTTGCAGTTATGGGTGTAATGTTTCTCCGGAGCGAAGCAGCTCATTCTACCTGAGCTCTGGACTCTAAAGAGTGAGACACAATGGGAAAAAGCTAGTCCTCTCTTTTACAGAATGAACGCAACTGAGAAAAAGACATAAGGGTTTAATGCCAGCTGGATCAGCACCTTAGGGGACATTTTTTTGCTTTCATAACAAATGGGATGTCACTGCAAGAAATTGATTTGCTCTGTGTAGGGACTTCCATATTTTTGGTGAAAATGAGTAATCTGTTTTAAGCAGCCGAAGCATGTCCATTGTCATGATCACTTCTCATGAGTGGCTCCATGCTGGTGATATTTGTAAAGCTGACATAAAATTACTATTGTTTTAAAGCCATTGTAAACAATAAGGAATCCTTATCAGGACATGTGCATTGTAGTGTATAAGGATCTGACACACTTAATACAGCCGGTATTAAAAAACCCAAAAATCTTCTGGGTAGATGCGTTGGAGCAAAGGTTGCAGATTGCTGAATGTTTGCTAAGGCCTTTCAACTGAACATGTTGGATAGGGCCAGTTTCTCCTCTGAGTAACATGCAGTGCATTGGAATCACAGAAAAAGAATGCTGATCAGAAATAGGAGGAAAGAGTATGTAAGAAAAAGAGAAGGGAGGCTCGTGAATAGTGAGCAACCTGTATCTTGGGTACCGGCATTACACTGTGTAATAGCAATCAGTATCCCATGCATAGTTTCATATTTTAATTTCTCTTTCCTATTTGAATTGTATTCTTTCTTTTCCTTTAGGCATTTTTACAAAGGAAAACTGTTTGGGACATGTTCTGGCACAGCTTCCTGGTAATTCACAAAGTAGCATTAAGACTGTAAATCTGTATGTGACCACTTGGAATTAAGTTCCATTGAGTTCAACGAGGCTTCCTCAAAGAATTGAAGCGGAAGGGCCATTCCATGCACACACAATGAAGAGAGAAGCTCTGATTTGCACTGACAGGATGTTTAACAAGGAGCAGCAGCCAGGCACAGATTCCTAATAGGCTGGGAATATGTGAGGTTTTCTTCTTATACTTTTACGTTTTTACATGTATGCAGAGCAAAGCAGGGTTCACAAAAATGGAAGCATGAGAAGTAGGAAGGAAACAAGAAACTCCCAACTATTAAACAACCACAACCAAAAACAGACAATTTCATGACTATACCGAAGGCAGAGCTGGGTGGTTGTTCCAATTTCTTCCCCAACCCCAGTGCTCTTTACTTGCAGGAAACCCCAAAACCTTAGAGTGAATTATCACTCTAAGTTTTTTTTAAAAAAACCCAGTTCTATGTCCAGGGGTGTGATATTAAATATATTACATTGCTGCTGTGTGATTGATTTGAGCATCAAACATTGCTTACCATAGCAGCTCTATACAAGTCTATCCTTTCCCCGCTCCAGCTAAAACAAGCCAAACGCTTTACTTGCGTGCCCCTCTTGCCTCCCTCCTCACGGTGTGATCCTCTTCTCATGTTACCCTAGCAGTGCGGGAGATCCTGCCTTGCAGAGTAGGCAGCCTTTCTCAGAGTGTGGGCTGATTTGGTGAATCAAGACTCTGTTCTGGGCACCAGCACAAAGCAGGCACATGATGGATGAAAGCATCCCTCTGCAGTCGTCTCCCATCCCCATTTCCTAGGAACGTCTCTGAGGCCCATGAATGGCACTGATGGGAAAAGAAGATGAAGTATTCGAAGCAGCCAGTAATTATTATTTAATGGTGGTGTCATGGAGAAGAAGGGAGAAGACCCCTTCAGCAGGTAACAAGGACGGTGCCTCAAGGTCCTCAGCTGCTACATATCCTAACACTGCTGTATTATGTCTCCTTCACATTCTACTGGAGTGATACAAGAAGCTCTGGGCCATAGCTGAGAAGCCCACAGTGTAGCCCCTCGATATACCTGGGTCATCCTCCAGGAACTGGGTTAATAAGGATATGGGACAGTATCAAATGCAGGCACTGTGCAAGTGCTCATTAGACTTTGCTAGAAATAATGGCCATT